TCTCTGCTGACGCACACATCTGATTGTTAAAAATATGTATAAACGCAATCCAGGAAACTCAATTTCCTTTTCGAGTGCGCGTAATCTCGATATTCCTTTTCTCTTCCCTTCGAAAGAACCCGTACGACTTTTTTAGCACTCGCTCGCTTATTACGCGATACTTTTATAATTTACAAATAATCGAAAGCCCCGCGTGCCGCGAGAGAAAGAAATAATGTGTATTGTATCGGGCATTGTGGAAGTGCGGGTGAAATGTATGTGCGCGTATACGTACGACGTGTCGTACAAAAGCGAAAATATTTCAAGACCGAAAGTATACTTCGCGGCCACTGTCACTGTTGGCCATCCATTATTAATCGCGAGAAAGTAATATACATTATGACGTAGGCCCCGGGGGTTCGGACATTTACATTTTACACGACTATTAGCATTCGAATCGGTCTTTTTAAGCGAGATATGAGTAACTCACGTGTTTCACTTAATCGCATACATTACTCAGTTGTTTTATATATATATATATATCTTTACTTATATGTACATACATTTTATTTCTAAATAAATCCGACGCGCACGGCGCGTGTACCTTTCTATCGGGGGGGAGGAGAAAAAAAAAGAGCGACTGTTCTCTCTTGCGTCATTCGTAGAGAGGTCGGAGCCGCGCAATCCCGCGCGATTGGCCGCGAGAGCCCACTCGCGCCGTTCGCGCGGTGTGCACACACTTCGATTTCTATTTATATTTTACATACCTTCGTGTCACTCGCCGTATATATACGCCGCGCCGGAGGCTGATCACGCTTCGGAGTGCAGAAGAAGATCCGCGTGACGAGTAACGATCAGTCGTAGCTTATCGGAGGGCGCAGCCCGCGGCATTCGTCGAGGGGCAAAAGACTCCGGAGGAAACTCGCTGTCGCCGCTCGCTGTCCGCCCGATACGGGATATATTGCGGGACGGCGGCGCGGCGCGCGGACCGGCCGCGGACGCGTGCGCGCGCGCGTGCACGCACTCACGCATGCACGCGGGCGCGATAATTCACGGGTTTAAATCACGGTCATTCCACTCGCGCGCGACCTTCGTCGGCAGTCGCGTAAAAAGCGTGGCGATGCAACAACAGTGGACGCACAGTTTTCGCCTCCATTCCCGCGTTGCATGGTGTATGCCTCCCCCCCTCTTCTCTATCCAGGCGCGTTTTTCCACCCGCACGCGTGCTTTTGCGTCCGTTCGAATCGCCTCTCTCGTCTCGAGAGAGAGAGAGAGAAAGAGAGCGCCGAAGAGCGTCTTCTTTCAGATATATCCTTCGCTCCTCTTCCCGCACCTCTGCCAGCTGCCTCGCTCCAAATCCCTTCTCGGTTCAAATATTCTCTCTCGGTGCAAAATTCCTCGGGAGCGGCGATCACGCGCCGGCCGGCGCGGCCTGCTGATGTCTCTCGTGATGCCTCACCACCGCGTCGTCTAAAAATATTGCGATTCGGTTCGCGCGCGACGCGGCTACGCTTCACCTGATCGCGTCGCGGACGACGACGACGTGAACGAACGTCGCCGCGCGGAGAAACGAGCGCGCTCAATAACGACGGACGTGATCGCGATTGCACTGATTGCAGCGGGCGCGCGATCCCCGCACGATTCGCATGACGCGTCGTCCGAGAAGGAGACGCGATCGATCGTCGATCCCTGGCGGCGGCGGCGGGAGACCTTTCTCGCTTCGATTCGTATACGCCACGTTCACCTCGATAACAAAACCGGGTCGGCCGAGCGTGACTCACAACCGGCGCGGCGGCCCGGCCAGCTCGCGGTCGACGGACGCGACGAATATTATTGTGTTCCTCGCCTCGCCCCGGGTTCACAGAGCCACGGAGGGTGATGATCGGCGCCGGTCGATAACGAAATCGATAACATATAAATTACTCCAGATAATGCGCTCTTGAAAACACCAAGGGAATAATAAAGGTTCCTCCGTGGATCTGATCGAAAACAATCCTCTCTCTCTCTCTTTCGACTTTTTTTCGTTATTTAGCGATCTGCACGCGGGACACGAAAACCCAAACGTGACGCACTCACGAGACGCGCGCGAGATACTCGCCCCCTCGCGCTGGCGATTCGCTTCGAGAGGAACGATCGCTTCGTCTCTCTCCCCTTTCGTTCTTTCTCCGCTTCTCTGCCTCTACTCCGTACTCTTTCTCTCGCACACTTGTTTACCTTCTTTCTCCGTCGACTCGTTTCCCCCTCCTCCCCCCCTCTCTCTCTCTCTTTGTCCACGAGTTTTCCTCCCCCGTCGCTCTTTCCCTTTTCCTTGCGTTCTTCCCCCCTCAACTCCTCCTTCACTCCTTCGTATCTGGCGATCTTTCCTCTTTTTTTTCTTTTCTCCTTTTCCCGCTGTCGCAACGAGCGCGCGTGCCACGTAACAGCTCTATGGGTTTTGAGACGAGTACTTCACGGTGCCCGCGTAAGGCACGCACTGAGGAAGAACGAGCTGCCGACGCGAGCAACGGACTGTGAGTCCGCGTACGTCCGTTCTCCAATTCAACCGCCGGGCGCCGATCCACGCACCCACACGCACGCACGCGCGCAACGGTGACGGAAGGGGAGAAATAAAGAGAGAGTGAGAGAGAGGGGGGGGGGACACAGAGCGAGAGAGAGAAAGATCGGGTCCGGTCTATCGCGGAGAAAGGGAGATCGAGAGTGCGCGCGCGACTGGGAGAGAGAGAAATGCATTCATCGGATGGGGGAAAACAGGGGGAGGAGAGCAAGGGAGGGGTCAAGGGAGAGAGGATTGGAACGAAAGAAACAGGTAAGGCGAACGAGCCGGGACGGACGCAAGGATCGAGACAGAGGTTGCTCCGGCGATATCATTGACCCTCGTGACACTTATTGCGGAGGTATCGATCGATGTTTGAAAACGCGATCGCGCCGACAGAACGTAATGCGAGCGCGCCGCTTTTTCTGGAATTGGTATATACTTGTTTGCCGGAAAAGGGATTTGGCTGATACCGGCGAGAGACCGAAAAAAAAAATCGGTGGGGAAGGAGAGAGAAAATCGCATCGATTATAGATTATTGTATTCATCGTATACGTCCGTCAAAATTCGAATTTATCGGAATTTTACCTATATTTTTCGGCTCTTTATTTAAATAATCTGGAACGTTCAATTCGATACGAATGGAAACAATTGCTATAACTTGTCGAACAACTATAAGTGATATACGATAATTTAATTGGAATAATAATAACCGACAACACAGAATCGTGAAGACCATTATATCGTACTACCTTCTGGCCGTCTTGTAGAAGGAAGATAGAGGGAAGAGATGAAACGTTAACCGGGGAGAGGGAGAGGGAGAAAGAGGGAGAAAACGGATGCGAAGGCGGACATGAGAGTCTCGAGATTGGTCGAGCCTCGGGTCCAGCGATGCTGCTTGCGGACAATCGCTGGGTCCTATCAGCAACCGCAGCCATAAACCTGCGGCCTACGATCAAATATAAACGAGACAGTTTGATAAAACAAATGGATATTTATTAGAGAAGAAACGTAGAGATCGAATGAGAAATATATTATCGGCAAAGATAAATAAATGTATAATCCTTTATTTAATTAAAGGAACTATCATATATTTACACTGTTCAAGAGAAAAATGACTTCGAACATAAGAACGAGAGTAATCATTTCCCGTAATTTTTTTTAGGCGCTAAATATGATCCTAAATAATTTGCCAAATAGCTCTATCATGTCACAACATTGAGAAGATTATGGTTAAAGTTGCAAAAAAATTTTAAATCATAAAGAAATAAAGTGTGACTCGATAGAGCTGCAATTTGGAAAATAAAATTATATTCAATACCCAAAAAACTACGAGAAACGACTATCATCGTTCGTGTGTATTTTTTTATTAAATAATTATCATTGTACAATACAGAACATTAACATATTTTTTAAACTTTTCCGTATTTAATCAAAATTACTTCAAAAGCAATACGACTTTTATACATATTTTACATGTATTTATTTATACATATATAGAGGTACTAAAAAGAAACCGGTGAAATATCTGGAAAATAAGATATTAAAAAAAAAACGAAAAAAAAACGCGTGACGGTGGTATAGGTAGCAGTGCAGGCCGCGCGGTAGACGGCTAGTCGTATCTAGAAACGTGCTCTCTTTAATGAAATTATTAATGTACGAAATAATCCAATTTCAAATATCGCCCGTGCATTATGACTATCTAGATGATCTACTAATTCCGGCGATATCTGAATTTTGTCAACTTATATCTCGAAAAAAACTTAACCGAAAGGAGTTTTATTGCAATGTTTTGAAAAGATCTTTATGTCAATTTTAAGAATATTAACTAAAAAATGAGGAGTTTTCATTAAAAATTTTAAAATTTTAAAATTTTGACTTTGAGAGCTCGTCCATACTTGCTCAAAATTAAATGAATATCACTGTATGATGTACATATTTGTGGAAACATTATAATGTATTTATACATTTTTTTCTCAATATCTTTTCGAGATATTTCACCGGTCCAATACGTTTTAATTACCCTGTATATGTATACATAATAAAGATGTTAAATTTGACTATGTATGGCAATGGTACAATCTTAATTTGACGTTCATGACGTAATCTTGTTAATGTGTGCGTTTATCTTTCCTTGAAATCAATTCATTAAGTCTCCTTTCTAACAGGTCGGCGTCTAACCGGTGCTTGCACAGATACTGACCTTCTAAAAAGAGGACTGGTATGTCGTACCTATATAATTTAAAATACCGTTCGTTTCCTTGCGCAGCAATGTCAACTTCTTCCAATTGATAACGACCGGCGAAACGTAAACGCAGCTCGTTCTTTAAAACGTCGCAAAGCGGACACGGGCTTTTTGTGTACAATGTTAATTTTGGCGGGGAAGCTATCGGATGAGACCTAAAAATCAATCAATGTGCTTCCTCTTTTGAGAAGATCTCTTTTATACAATGCAGTCAACATAAAAGTCATATAAAATCAATCAAACTGCCAATGTAAAAGAGTTTATTTCTGTATATTCATATAACAAAGTAATGCAACGAGATATGCTTTGAACAGCAATAAAATAGGTATACAGTAAAAAAATATTTTTCTTGATACACTTTCGTGCGTTGGTTTGAGTTGTTATATGTACATATATGTATCATAGAAAATATATCATAGAAAAATGTAAAGTACCTTACATAACAATAATAGTCTTACTTGTACGAATACGAAAAGCCGAAGCTTTTACAATATCATTTTTCTATAATATCTCTGTAACAGCATACAGTTTCGTAATATAAAAATTAATTGTATAAAAATTAATGCTTTTTTTTTATACTGGACTTATGTTGTCAATCATAAAGACAGATCGTCCGCTTCGTGCAAACCGAAATGGCAGCCGTGTGATAATTTGCGAACTTACAATTTCTCAATCAGGATCGATGACGCACCGCCGCCCCCGTTGCAGATCGATGCTACGCCCTTTTCCCCAGCTTTGAGAGCGTGCACCAAGTGTACTACGATACGCGCTCCCGACATGCTGCACGATTTTTATTAATTTTACAATACGCAATTAAGGTATACGCGCGATAATTCGAAAAATATATGTATATTCGAATAACTCACCCTATGGGATGTCCAAGCGAAACGGCGCCACCGTGAACATTTACCTTGGCAGGATCGATGTCGAGTAATTTCTGATTTGCCACAACCACAACGCTGAATGCTTCGTTGATCTCCCACAGAGCTATATCATTCTTGTTAACTCCAGCATTTTGAAGTAGCTGAAGGCACGTAAACAAAAATTTACAGTATCGTTCCTACTTCAGAAAAAAAATTTGTGCCATAGTGAACACGACTTACCGATGGCACCCCGAGAGCCGGCGCGATCGGGAAATCTATAGGATCCGTTGCCGCATCCTGAAAAGCGACAACTCTAGCCAGAGGCTTGAGATTCAGTCTTTGAGCAGCGTCACTGGTCATTAGGACCAAAGCGGCAGCACCATCATTTAGAGTGGACGCATTTCCAGCTGTCACTGTACCGTTCTCTTTCTGCGCATACAAATTTGAATACATGTAGAGAAAATATATAGCCAGTATTAGATATGATATAAATCAACAGAGTAATCGCCTCACCTGGAAAACTGTACTCAATTTGCCAAACTTCTCGAAGTTGACTCTCTTGTATTCCTCGTCCGCAGTGAAACTTACGTCCGGTTTGCCCTTCTTTTGAGGCACGCTAACGGGCACAAGCTCGTCTTTAAATACATTGCTATCATAAGCTGCCGCGCTGCGTTTGTAACTGCTGATAGCGTATTCATCCTGTTGCTGACGAGTGATATTGAGTTTCTTAGCCGTGTTTTCGGCGCAGTTACCCATGTGACATTTATTGTAAACATCAGTCAGTCCGTCGAACACAATGCCATCCTGTGAAATTATTTTGATATTAATCACTTGCATATAAACCAATAAGAAAAATAAACAGAGGGGACATGACTCAACCTCGAGTTTAACTCCGCCGTACGACGTTTCGCCACGTGCTAAATAATATGGCACATTAGACATAGATTCCATACCACCGGCTAGAACGATTTCTTGATGGCCGCACTGCAGAGATTGAGAAGCCAGCATGACACTCTTCATGCCACTTGCGCAAACTTTGTTCACCGTTGTACATATCGTTGATTTTGGAAGTCCTGATAACAAATACATTAATCTAATTAATATTCTGCAAACTTCAATACATATTCTTTCAATATCATAATTTTATGCAGATCAAAAAACCATTTTCTCATTATTATTATTGTAAAACTTTGTGAAATAGAGTTATCAAGTGTAAAAAAAAAAAAAAATAGATTGTCACAAGACCTGCGAATAATGTAGCCTGTCTCGCTGGCGCTTGACCTAAAAACCCTTGACAAACATTGCCCAAATATACCTCTTTAACTTGTTCTTTGGCTATACCAGCTCTTTCAATAGCTGCCTATAAAAATAATATAATCATTAGCTCACGTTTATATGCAATTTATGGGATTAATTATAAATGTTAATAATGAGTGTCTGGGTGAAATTCTTACTTGCACAGCTACCGCACCAAGCTTAGTAGCTGACATGCTCGATAGAGATCCAAGAAACGAGCCCATTGGGGTGCGAACGGCACTGACTATTACAACATCATTTAATTTGACTTTGGAACTGTATAAACGCCTGCTCACGAAATTCATCTGAAATCAAACAATCATTTTTAAGATACTTCCTGCATGATTTCAATTAAGCTTAGAAGTTTAATCTTAAAAAAATTTAAATGAAAAAAAAACACAAAACTCAAATTTAATATAAATAACGTAAATAATAACAATTAAGGTTAAATAACAAATCACTTTATCTGACATACTATTGTAATGCAAGGTAGAATAACTGCATGTACAGAATAGTACAATATGCCTTACAATTACATTTTCTAAAGAGGTTAAGTGTATATCAAAGAGATCTTAATTAATTGTAACTTACTTTAGTCAATCTCGTTATGGTCGCCATAGTAAACAATTAATATCTTTTCTTGAAAAAAGAAATATCCTAGCTAATATGTACAGCCACTATCTCGACTCTATCAGCACTGAATGACGTTTCTTGATTAGGTTAGGTATATTCGTATTTCACCTTTGCCCTCTCCGCAAACATGTGTATAAATTTGCGATCATTTGTGACGCTCGTCGTGCCTATATTTCTTAGAAAGATCATATCTTTATTGCTCTATTTCTCGTTTTTCAAGGTCAATAAATATATTTTAAATATTGTTTTCATATTACGGCTGAAATATTCAGGTGGTCTGTTCTTTGTCATTGAATTTTTTCCGTTCCAATCATTTCTCTTCTTCCCTCCTAAGCTTTATTACAAAGCTATATGTATTTATACACGTGTGCGTATATTTAATTGGAAAAAAAAAAACAATCTTTTTTAAAACGTAAAAAACAATCTTTAAAATTAAAGAGCGGGTTGCCAATCAAACGCTTCGAAACTGTCGGAAGGGTAGATTTTTGTATCCTGATTGGTCAATCGGATGTAGCGTTCAATAATCGTAGCACTAAATGCATCGTATAATGAATATACTTCGTATACATAAATATAATAAACACACACAAATATGCAATACAAATTATATAATACAATAGCTAACCTTCACAACTCATCGCGCACGTTATTTCGCTTGCGGTATCAGTGCATTCCGAAACCCATCGAGAACGAGATGCTCTAACCTAACTCTAACCTTCCGCTGGCTCGACCTTCCGAGTTTACATTTTGCGTATTTGTTGTGTGTCGCACGGGAATGAAGTGTCTCGTTAAACGGAAAGGAAGCAATGATCCTCGTGTGTTTCGACATCGTTCGATAGTGGGAATTATTCGGCTCGCGTCGCGCGTCCGTGGCGTGTTTGACAATTCGGCGGACTGCCGTTAAGGGGCTCATCAAAATTCAGCGATACCGCTCGTCGAGTTAGTCAGCAGCGAATCCCCACGTTCGCCGCGAGTGGCTTTCCACGTCGATGCGGGCGACAGTCGTGACTCCGAGGCGAGGATGAACCTCGAGGAGGCGAGGCTCAGGACGTTCCGCGAGTGGCCGGCGAACGCCACCGTCGATCCGGCGCGTCTCGCCAAGGCGGGCTTCTACTACACCGGACACGTCCTGGAGGTGCAATGCTTTCTGTGCGGCACGAGGATATCCGACTGGAACTACGGCGACCAAGCTATGGTACGTCATCGAATGAAGTCGCCCCACTGCCCGTTCGTCCTCGCGCCGAGCAACACGTGCAACGTCCCGCTCGTACCAGCGGCGGCTGAAAATGCCGCCGCGGAATCGAGAACCACGTACTGGACCTCCCGATCCTCCTCGGACTCGCAGCAGCCCAGCGGTGTCGACCACCCGAGGATACTGCAGCGGCCGGCGGATCCCCTGAAGGAGTACGGTACCTTCGCGCAGAGGATATTGTCATTTAAAGATTGGCCGAAGAGCAGATTCGTCCATCCGGAGCAGCTGGCCTTGGCAGGATTTTACTATCTTCAAAGCGAAGACGTGGTAACAACACTATTTTTATATATAAATATTATAGAAATTGTTGTAAATTCAATACAGATCTGTTATAAGTGATCTAACAAAATATTTGCAAAGAGTAAGATTCTACGTGTTATCTAAACAGTTTTTACATAACACTTTGTATGACCAACAGGTGGAATGCGTGTTCTGCAATGGTATCCTAATGAATTGGAAACCAGGTGACGATCCGGATTGCGCGCACCGATTGAATTTTCCAAATTGTGACTTCTACATGAGACAGAACACAGGAGATGGTATTATTATTTTAGTAATAGCGGAGATTTATAAATAAATCTCAATTTTGCTTCACAAACATATGAAACCTTACCTACTATTAATTGCCGATTGCAATTTTATTTCGACAGACCTATTAGGATTAGTCAAGATGACACCTGAGACTACAAACATGACAGAATTGGGAATACAGAGGCATAAGGCTCCCCAAAGTCCAGAATACGCAACGTATGAAAAAAGATTGCAGACCTTCAAAGGATGGCCGAAAAACCTTAAACAAACTCCAGAGATGTTGGCCGAGGCTGGATTCTATTATGGCGGTCAGAGTTATATTTATTTTTTGTAATTATTAGATCCTTTCTATACGAAATGTTTCAGTAATCTAATCTTTAATCCTCATTTAATAACAGGATACGAAGATCAAGTTAGATGTTTCCATTGCGACGGAGGATTAAGAAATTGGCAACCGACGGACGATGTATGGGTTGAACATGCACGATGGTTTTCAAATTGTGGCTTTGTAAATCTTTTGCGTGGACATGAATTTGTGAAATATTGCATTGATAATAGAACTCCTTTGGATCTTTCGGTAATTATTCCATCTTTTTTTTTCTTACAATTTTATGAGTTAACGCAATTGGATAATGTAAAGTATACGTCTCTCTGGATTATATTAAATATACATGACATATACTTTGTACATTACACAACATGTAATATGACGTTTCTTCAGTTGCTTCAATTTTATGTATATACAGATTATCACTGGCATACCAGAAGGAAATGATGCCACGGAACCCTCAGTTGAATCTCTTTCCTCAACTTCACAATTTGGCGAATCAGATAATGCAATAACATCTGGGGCAGATGTCGTAGAAACTTCAGTTGCATCTTTTTCCACGGTTTCGCAACCTAGCGAACCTAACGAATCAGATACAGCAGTAGGTGCCACACAAGCTACGGTTGCATCTCTTCCGACAGTTTTACAACCCTACATACCGATAACGAATGCAGCGGTTGAGAAACTCTTGGATACAACTCCAGCTAAGGCAAGTAGAATATATGATCAAATTACATATAATGTAAATTACATTAAGATTAGAGAAAGGATTCGGGTGCGTGTACGTTTTTTGTCAATTTAAACTTTATATCGAACAAAATGATATTAATGAAAACATTAATAATGAAAAAGCCGGCGATTAAAAACCGTAACTTATGCATTCTTAAGATTATTTAATTATTATGACTTTAAATATAGGCTGCTCTTGAAATTGGGCTACATGTGGGTAGAGTAAAGAGAGCTCTCAAGAAAAGAATGGAGCGAGTTGGCAAACCGTACACTGATGTTGTACACCTCATACAAGACGTTCTACACGATCAAGTTATGGAAGAGGATGATGGGTATGTTAAAACGACACACGATATATTGCATGAAAATTTATTATTAGAAATTTTTAATCGAAAGGTTGAGGCATCATTGGGAACTGCGTTTTTTTTTTAGGCTTGATAATAGTACATCTAGCTCGCCAACTTCAGAATTGAATAATTTGTTTAATCAAGTCACTATGCAAATGACTAGTAATTCCGCAAATGAAAATAGCACACAAAATTCTGACGCATTTAAAAGGGATCTCGGAAAGAGGAAGACGGAAAAGGAATCAGATGATCTTAGTGAGTAGTAGATAAACATCATATGATTTATTATGCTTTGGTATTATATGCGACCTATGAGACCTATTACATGTCACTTTTCTACGAATTATTTTATCGTTATCGCGGCTTAAGATATCATTCTTTATGAATTGTATCAACGTAAGCTTATCCCTGAGATTAACTGATATATAATTTCTTAAGGTGTTTTTGTTCGAAATACTAATCTCTTATTGTAACATTATCCCTGTACCTCATATATATGTATACATGATTTGATTTCTTAGAAAGAGATGCGCACATATGTATCTAACTCACGTCGCTTTCTTTCAGTGTCCTTGCGAGAGGAAAACAGAAAATTGAAGGAGGCTCGTTTATGCAAAGTTTGTATGGATCACGAACTAGCCGTGGTATTTTTACCTTGTGGACATTTAGCAACATGCAACAACTGCGCGCCGGCTCTTGCGAATTGTCCGTTGTGCAGGCTGAAGATTCGCGCTTACGTTCGTATTTTCTTGTCCTAAATTAGATCGTACGTATACATCTAGCGTCAAATTATGCGTGATTCATGACACGAGCTTCGTAGTTTGAGATTCACAGTTCGCTATTTGAGATTTGTCAGATCGGAGCAATTTTTTATGTGAATCGTGTCCCTTTGATGAAATCAAAGGAACACTAATCACTATGGATGAGGCAATTCATGGTGATTTGCGACTAGATTGTAAACCACGAATCCGCTAACAAAATGTGAAGAGTCCATATTGAGAAATCTTCGCAAATCTACTATCAATTGCAAATAATAAACGACGTAAATCATAAATCACGCATAATATAGTGCTGGATTAAGGTTGACTTCTCTGAAAAAATATTACAAAGATTGAGCGAGAGCTATTAGGAAATCGAATTTGAGCCACTTCTTTATTTGATTTATTATACGTATTTATACGTTATTATACGTATGTACACTATATTTTTATTGCATACAAATATCTTTTTCTTATATTTTATTTTGAAAACGACAATAATATAATAATATAACAATACGTTACTTAATAAAATATTTTTCAATGCATGTATCTCAGCTAATTCCATAAAAGTTGGAAAGTATTAAAAAAAACTAAAAAAAAAATCAATAACAATTGCAACTGGTTACGTAGACTTGATATTGTCGACCTACAATAAATATTATTATATTTGCGCATTATCAATAGTAAGATCGTTGGCTTCGAGATATAACTACTATATTATTTGCATTAATATCTTCGTAGTATAAATTAAATTAAATTAAAAACGTTAAATATATAACAATTGAAAGATATAACCCAGTCGATGAAGAGTGCCGCTCGACAATATTGGTCTGTATTCAGAATCACGTTAGCGCGCTAACAACGATGTTAGAGCGCTAACGTGATATAGTTTACGTTACGGGTGCTATAGAATGTCAGAGATAAAAACGCGCATTCATCGATAAAGAGCTAAAGATTTTATCCGAGTAAGAGCGCGTGAATTCTGAGTAAAACGTTCTATCGTTTGTTTAAGCGTGACTATATTGTCAATGTCCTTTTAACGGAGGTTGGAATTTAAATGGTTGCTTAAAACATTTAACAGATCACGTACAAATGAAACACAATCTCACTTTTAATGCTGTTAATGCTTTACGTCCCCACTGACGCATTGTGATAAAGTATATGTATATATGTGTCTCTCACGGGTAATATATATCACAGATAAAATAGCCAGTTATATTAAAAATCACTGTTGTGTTTACCGAGGAGTACAAATGACATAAACTGATCGAATTGACTCTCAATTTGATCATTTTAAAGACAAATGAATCAGAAATAATATTGTACATGCCCATATTAATTTCTAGTCTTAGCGCGTAAGCTTAGCGTATATAAGAGAGTAAGGCTAGAATCGTTCCAAAAAAAAATGAATGAAGAGCCAAATATCTTCATATTTGTACAATTTTGTTTCGTTTTATTAAATGCCAGTACGAATAGATTAATATAAATGTGATATCCACGTCTATGAAGCGAAAAAACGTGTAATAATTAGCTGTATATAGGCGAATTGTTATGTAGATATCGAAGAAAATATTTTATGTACAGTTTTACGATCGCATGTAGCATCGCAAAATAGAAATTCGTCTCGAAATCGACACATGTGTACACTTTTTAAAATACAAAAGAATCACACATGCATTCACCCCATTGAGTGTTTCTTTTTAAACGACGCGATTGTCGTTGACCATAGAACTTTATCAAGTCGCATTCCCGGATTTGATTACACTGCGACAGTCAAATACGCATTCAGATAACCGCACTGATTGCAGTTGACGGTTTCCATTTATATTTTCCTCATTATCACGATTTCTGCAATTGCCGTTAACAAGACATTTTTTTTTCTTATATCGAATATGCTCCGAGTGTTAAATTTTCTCGCGAAAGCAAAATTAGATTTCTTTAAAAATAAATTTGTGTTTCATATTTTCCTCTTTATATATTACGCGATTTCTGCCGTTAACGGTTAACGAAATATTTTTTTTATATTACACAAGATCTGAGCGTTATAAATAAATTTTTACGTGAAAGTAACAAAGCAGAATTTTTTGTCTTAAAAAAAGTATTAAATTATAATGTGATTATAATTATTACATGTTCGATATATGCAATAATAATGAAATAATTTTCGTGTTAAGGCTCAGACACAATAAATAAGGAATTGGGCAAAAATCAGAGTAGGACGAAAAATCGCTCTTGTTTCCTTAGTGGAAAAATTTTGTTGACAAATTATTGAAATTTTGCTAAAAATTTTGCTAAAATTGTTCGACATTTTAGAACACTTTAGCAAATTTCAATGAAATTTAATTGAATTTTAAAAGTTTCATGTTTTTATGAATATTGCCAGCACAAAGGTAGTCCCTGAATACATTCAAGATCCTTGAATTAATTTTTATAATATAAATGAAATTATCATTTTTCTAAGCTATGAAAATACATATCATTTTTATTTTGAAGCCCAATTTGAACGGTAAAAAATTTATAATGTTATACCTTTTATCCGAATTTTTTTGTACTTGTGTCTAATTCTTTTTTATGTTCAATTCTCTAAAATTTTCTAAAAGTAATAATCCTTTCAGTGCGACTGAACTTCCTTTTCTCCAAAAATTTGAAAACTTTTTAAAATAGAATTACAAGGGTTCGAGAAATTTCAGGAATACTATGAATGTTAGCTAAGTTCGGCAGTTCAGGTACAAAGAATTTGTCTGCAATCACAAATAAGCCCATCTTCTAATTTTTTCAAGCGTCTCCCAACAACTATGAATAACAGGTCAGTGCAAATACTGCGGACCAATACTGTGAAAGCCGCTATCTCCTTTGGCCCTTCCGAACCCTTCGGTACCTCTCCACTACCGTTCTTGACGAAATCAAAGCCTACGACGCCCCGCGGCGTCAAGCGGTTTGCTCAAGAAGGACCCCGACCCCTGGACGATTTTCAGGTATCGGCATTTTCAAGCGCTGAGATTGGAAAACTTTCTTTCCCACTTACATCTTTCTCTCCCTTTTATCCCTTTCCACTTCGTCCGAATACAAATTTCAGTGTGCCGGTCATTCTCATTTCTCAGTTCTTCCCAATCGTTACTCACGTTCGGAACTATCGTAACATTTTACGGCGCGTTGCGATCAAATCAAAGTGTCGCGAGTTTCGTTGGTCCGGCCGGTTAAGTGAAGACTGCAAGCGGTATCGAATCTTAAAATGGTTTTTACACAATTGATGGAGTACCTGTTGAGTGGAAAAAAAATGTCTGCCGACTCTTCCGCGCCGACAAATTCGAAAGAAGAGCCGCGAGAACCGGCTTCCGTTTCCAACAAGTGTGATCACGACGAAAATAAGGAGAATGAGCCACCCACGTCCGATCAGCGGTAAGTTTACGTTGTTGAATGAGAAAAACGGCGTGGAAAAGTATGATATATTAGATAGATGTAGATAAGATTGCTTGCTTCCGCTCTTCCCCTGCAATTATCCTCTTTTCCTCCGTCATTATATCCTCATCGGATATAAACTCTATATTAACGTCAGTTCCTGCGAAAGATCAATTTCCATCTGTCTGATAGATCAATTTCTCTCTTTCTCCCTATCGACACTCGCCGCTCTTTTTCTCTCACTTCCGTCCGGAAAGAGAGCGATTGTTGCGAAGTGGACATGAATAATTCGCGATATACGCAGTGCGCCGGCTACGTCACACGTTGCGCCGTGCTCTTTTCCGCTCTTTCTCTTTCGTATAAAGGCACGGTTTGGTACGGAAACATTCTCTCCCTTTTCCGCTCTCCATCGCTCTTATCGCCGTCTACATTCATCCCTTTCTCTTTACCGGTTTATCTCGCTCATTCTCTTTCTCTTTATCTCCGCGCTTGTCACATTTCCTTTTTTTGCCGGCTGGCAGATTTTTCGTCATGAGATCACTCCTGAGATCATCCTACAACGCGTTCGCGGTGGTTCGACAAAGGAAGGCAGATGCGAGGTTTCGGAAGGATATTATATCTGCTGGTGTCATTATTTTAGATTTCCGAGAAACAATAAAGTTAAATTTCACTGATTATCAGTGACATGCTCTTGAGACTGATGCATTCGGTGACACTGATTCAGATTTAGAGAGTTCATTTCAATTGCTTTAATTAATCATTTTTTATTTATAATGATTTTTTATCTACGTATCAGACTCTCTTAAATATATAAAAATTTCTTCGATTTAATTTAGTTATTAATTATTAATTTATTAGGCTCCCTTAATGTACACAAAGTTTCTCAATGAAATTTGAATGCGCAGGTCACTGATATTATCTTACAAACGATGAAATAATGAATCCGTGTCTAAAAATTGTAATATTATACAATTTCTCATAGGAATCGGCGCTATTAATAGGATTACAAACCCTTCCGCTTATATTGCACAACGACAGTTTAAGAATGAATGTTTTCGCTTTCGAGTGCCCGTATCTATTGAGGATGTTTGGCGTTGATAATATTTTCTTCGTATTTCTGTGATTATCAAAAATTTATCTATTCAGAAAATGAGGAAAAGAAATGTATATTTTATCGCGTAATAATTGTTATGATAGTAACAAGATGAACTTCTGTGAGTGAAATTATCTCGCCGCGACACGCTACACATTCCGATGCAAACAATGGTTTGCGGATGAAAATGTGAAAGTGCTAAAAAAAAAAATAGATTCACGCGGGTATACGTTTATTCATTTATTTCGCTATACGCATTTATTGATATTATTTTGCTCATCTCAACACATTTTCACATTATGGAATGGTATATCTCGAATAGAAAAATATCCAGTAGTTATAGGCGCGTCGCTAACACAGGCTGCGTATTGCGTGCCTGCGTGTCAGGTAGAATTCGTGGAATGCGCCTTTTCAGGCTGGGTAAAAGGAAAAGAGAAAGCGAGAAATTGAAAATATTCAGCATTTACAAGGGACGTTTTACAACGTACTTTTATACTTTACACACGCAGGCACGTAGACAAATAGATCCGACGGATCCGACGTACCTGCTCGGTCATGAATTCTTTAGCTTCGTGATTTCTTCCATTCGATAATATTCTTCGAAGCATTGTATCTTTTTTTTTTTTTAAAAGATAAGTTTATGTATTTGTTGTATTTTATACTTATTCTATTTTTCCCTGGAGATCCCGCATACTGTTCCTGAACGCATAAACAATGAGAAGGAATGATGTGTTAGATGTAGCTTCATAAACTAATATAAAAATAAGATAAAAATCAGGCAAAGATTGCCTATATTTTACAGAGGAATTTGTACCATAAGTCATGTTTGTCCTTTTTTTTTCACAGACTCTGGCAAAAAGGGCCCGAAAAAATTCTTCGGAGAATTTCATCCACAAACCTGGATCGAACTGAACAAGAGGAAGCGGAACGCAAGAAGAACGCAAAGGCTTGGCGGCTTCGGATGGATAATCTTCGGAAATTGGAGGATACTAAAACGTTGATGGCAGTTGAATTGCTGATAGAAGCGGACTTTGCAGGCATCAAGTATCGTTTCGAGAGCACAAGGCTGGATTCCTTCCGCGATTGCTGGCCTGTAAAGTTCATAGACCCCAAAAAATTAGCGGCCGCCGGTTTCTTTTATACTAAAAAGAAAGACAAGGTGAGATGCTTCGCGTGCACGTGTCCCCTGTCTGAGTGGAAAGAAGGCGACGACCCTATAGTGAAGCACAAAAAATGGTCTGATGCTGGATATTCGTGTAAATTCGTCCGCAATCTTCCTTGCGGAAACGTACCGATCGACGCTGATCCCAGCACGATTCTCAGAGCGTCGGAACCGAACGAGATCAAAATTATGATATTATCCGACCCAGATATACTAGTCGGCGGTCTGCAGACGGAGAAAGACGTAAACTCTGATATCTACTACAAGATTAATAACGACGAAGAAATTACAGTATTCTGGGACTCTGAGACGAAGTTTACCGCCAAGCACAGCCACATGTTGGGCTCGATTATTCCCACATACGCTTCCTATGAACGGAGATTACGCTCCTTCGACGCATGGCCCGGCGAAACAGGTCAAAAGAAGGAGGACTTGGCGGCCGCCGGTTTCTTTCATCGCAAAGACCTTCTTACATCTTCCGATGATCATCACACGATGTGCTACTACTGCGGGGGATGTTTAAAGGCCTGGAAACCGACGAGCGATCCTTACGACGAGCACGCTAAAAGATTTCCGAAATGCAGATTTATCAACAAACTATTTCATCAACAAGCAAATGGACAGTTGGTGAAGAAAGACGACCTGTGCACATCGTCCACGGAACAGTTGCAGAAGAAAGACGACGACATGTACTGTCATGTACATATCATCCACGATCCACGGAACAATTAAAGAAAAAAAACGACCTATGCATATCACCCACGGAATTGAAGAATGAAAACAACCAGATGCGGTATTAATCGAGGGGTTAACCACTATGGGAATCGTACATTTTTTTTAGAAAATATATTGCCAGTATTGCGGCAATACAATACTAGCAATTAACAATACACTATCAATAGCAATATCTAGCAATACATTAGCAATACTTGGCAATATTGTGCAATAGATAGGCAGTACGTAAATTAATAGATGGCAATATTACTAATAATACAAACGTAATACAATAGCAATACTAGTGTAATAAAGTGTATTGTTTATTATCATAATTGGCAATCACTGTACATTTCTTTAGTGGTTGACCCCTCGGTATTAACGCACCCTCGATTGCGATTTTTTCATTATACTGCTTGTATCGATTGTACCAAGATTTTGAAGATTTCTTTTTTAGTCATATTCATAAAAATTATTTATAATAATCTGGTCAAGAAACGCTTAATGACATAACTCATTAGCGAGTCAATCTATTGAGTGATGTTTTGTACACTAATTTTTACGTTTGAAATTAGTGAGATTTTATACAGTAATTATAAAAGCCCATCTAAGTCGCAAACGCGGATATTTCTCTTTTTCTTTTTTTTTTACGTTTCTTTCTTTTCTTCGCGTTTGCGTTTGCATTTGTGTTGTATGTTTGCGACTTATGTAGATGGGGCTTAACAGTAAACCTAAGATTAATTAAGTGTCGCTTTTACTATCGTGAGTCGTCTGTGATATTTTATCAGTTGTCGACTGTATTAATAATTAGTAGTCAGTATTATAGCCAATGATGTCTACTTAAATATTTAAGGTAAATGCAATATATTTTGTAGTAATGTATTATATTACAAATTAACAATTACACTGTGTTATAAAAAATCGATACGAATTACATAATCAAAATATATAGGGTTATTTGATACATAATAAATTATATTGATACTTGCAACCGAATATTTTTAAAGTTTCATTATTTCGACTTTCCATTCGATATCATTCTTTGCTTGGTATGAATGTTGACGGATGTATTGATATATTCATACATTTTTATTTGTAATTACAGCTGATTTGTAATAATTATTATTTTCAAAACGCAATCTCTATTTTCCTTTTCAGGAAAAATCAGATTAAAAATAAATTAAAAATCGAAATAAAGATCAGAACTCCGAGATATAAATAAGAAGCAAATAGATTATGTACGATAAAAGTAAAGATAAATTTATCTAAAATCGTTACTTATATTAAAAGCTTTAGTTAATTCGTAAAATGTGCACGCAAGCACGTAAGCTTATTCTTAATTCTTTTAAAAGCATCCAAAGAACGCATTATTAGAAACGCGCATAAGGAATAATTATACATTATATATGTATGCGTAAGAATTGCGCTAAAAAAAATAACTGTTTTACATATTTTTCATCGTATATAAATAAGACTGATATGTGCGTGAGTGATTTTATGATAAATAAAAGATATTTGAAATATTTTATAGATTGTTAATTATTAAATTGCACCAAATATTTAAAAAATACAGAGATATCCGACGGATTTTCTTTCTCGATCAATACACGATTCTAAATCTTTTTCGACGAAATCGATGGAGGATTTATAAAATGGGTACTGCAGAATCGAACGCTTAACTACATCTAACATCAGTGTGTGTCTAAATGGGATAATTCATTCCCACTGGTGTATGATGTCATCATTTGTGATGCAATCATGATACATCACACATTAACTTTTACACTGGGTTTTGTAAACAGATACAGAAGCATTCAATACGCAGAAGAATGACGTGAAATAATGACGTGAAAGATTGCAAAATTTCCTGCATGATAATCCGAAATAAAATATTCCGTTCCCCGTGAGTTGCTCTAATGTCAATTGTGCAACTTGCACGCACGAGAAGCCAATTATCGAAAACTTCAACTTTAATTTTATTTTTTATAAATAATAAGAACAATTAAGTAATTTTATCCTTGTTTTTATTATTTTATTTTATTCTATTCGTGTTCGATAAAATTTATAGTTACGATATACTTTAGACCGTTATAAAAGTTAAATAATATTTAAGTTTCTTTTTATTCTTCCATGAAATTTCAAAACGTCCAGAAAATTCTACGTAAATATTTTTAAGACTGAAAGACCAACAATTTCTTCACTTCAAAATCGTTAAAAAGCTACGCCGCTGCAAGGTCAATTTATACAAGAGAGTTGAGACGTGCTTATATCTTGCCCGCCATGATCGCGACGTAGATGAAAATCGCTTTTCGTTTCGGGTACACTCGCGATAAATAGTACGACAATTCATATACACACAATAACAAATACATTACATATACATGCTTTAATGTATATGTTTTAATATATATGTTTCATCGTAGCTGACGGTTGTGTTTTAAGAAATAAGATTTCAGGCACGCCTGCGAGCTAATTGCCATTAGCGGCCTTTGACCGATTAAGTCGATCCTTGATTTTTCTCGGAAGTTAATGATCTCGAGACAATTCATCGATAGGAAAGCATATGTTATCTTAGTACAGAGCTATCTCTTACACGGATATCTTACACATATACACACATATATTTATCATGTGCGCGCGCGTAAGAATTGGATGCTGCGTCATGGAAGATTTTATTTCTTAAAGCACAATTTGTTATAAAATGGCTGCAATAAAATGTATTTATTGTATGCTGTGAATTCTATTATTACAAATTATATATTTATAATATTTAGATAATATATATAGCAATTATATTTTAATACTTATACGTATGAATTATTTTCTTTCGGTTTTTCGAAAGCGAAATAAAGTACGGAACCTACTTTTTGTATCGCGTTAATATAACTTGATACTACATCTTGATTAGAATATATTTGACGATGTAGATATGATAAAGCTTTAATTTTTTGTCGTGTTCCGAATTTACGCGTGGCGCAGTTATATAAAGAGCGCTTTCTGAGAATTCGTGATCACTCGCGATTACGTGTCGCGAACCAAATGCGCAGAAATTTCGTGGGCGTATATTTAGATTAGGCGGACAAGGTAAGTTTAGGAAATGTCACGGTTGATGCCATTAAGTGATACACGTGATAAGATAGTGATCCTTTCATAAGCCATAACTGTTGATTGTAGCCTAGTCTACGTACCTGCCTACGAGAAATGATACGGTATTATCAGAAACCCTCTGTGTGCATATATGTATATGTATATATAAAAAGAAAAATTGAGATTAATATTAATTTACTATCAGTGCTGAAAAACAAAATCTACAGTGCACGTGAGACGTATGCTATATAGATTTTCAGCATTAAGTATTGAAACGTCATAAATACGTTAAAATTCTTCAAATTATATAGTTCAAGTAATTTCTTAAGAAAGAAGAGGAGAAAGAAGGAGAGATAGCTCAAATATCACAGGAAATTTAAAAAAAATTCAGTCGTATGTCATCAATTTTGAGTTAATTTTTAGCCGCATAAAAAGAATTTGTTTCTAGAAGAGACTATACTGGCATACGACTGAAAACGTATGAATGAGTCCTTTGTGACTTCTCTGTACGTGCTGTCTTCGGGAGAAAGAAAACGCAAATGTCATTGTCGTATTTCAAAGGCGACTGGATGTTAGACAATACCGAAAATGCAAAGAAAGGGGAAATGCGGAAAGTCCCAACAGTGAATGCATTTTGAAATGGTATGCTTTAGTCCGTATTATAATAAAGAATTTCCTAACAATACATCCGCTCTTTTTCTAACAGAAAATGCAATGGTATGCATGGCTCTTTTAATCTGCCTGAAAATTAGACATACGACAAAAGTTTTCATTATCAGGCTAAAGAAAATATGTAGACCTACCGCAGTGGGCAACACAGCGGGGGTGCGTTCGATAAAATTGTCTTCCGTTTCGTTACACTTCGCTCAAGGTCAAAATATCTCTCTCTCTCTCTCTCTCTCTCTCTCTCTCTCTCTCTCGCATACTGCGTTGCTTGCGAACACAGCCGCGAAGCCGGGAGGCAGCCGCGCTCATTATTGCGGAATTTCATCGCACGGCCGGCCGACGTATCGTGAGCCGTGTATAGTGTATACCTCTCGGAATATACCGAGTGAAATCAGCGTATCACCTTTTGCTCGCGGGCCTCCTTTCCCGCCGCCATTGCTATCCGCGGCCAACGCGTGTGAATGCCAGACCTTCCGCGGCCAAGAGTACCGTAACTTTTCCCGACGCCATGGAGAAGAGAACTCGTTTATCCTTGTTTATTTACTACCCGCATTCCATAGCCGGAATGAAAGCCTACCTTTGCTTTTTTTATCTGCCCTAATCCTAATCACATCAAATTAAGCCCACCCAAGTCCACCTTTGTGCTTTATCTTCAGATCTCATATCTCTTTATTGTATTTACAATAGAATTCAACGAATTTGAATTAGGAATATGATTTTTTCTTACGTCTTGTATTTCGAGCGATTGTTATTAACATACATTGACTTTCAAACAATTAATTCATAATTGGCGAATATATATACATATATTTTTAGACGCCAGCTGTTTGGCGATTCGATTTTTTAAAGAAAATAATAAATCTTATTTTAATTGAATTTTAGTGAAAAATAAATATTATAAGCATATTAAAATAACGTGCTGATACAAAAATGTCGTCAGGGGCACAGCTTACCTAATTATACAGTTGCGGTCTAATGTGTTAAAGTCATTGTATAACATCTTCATACAAATTAATAATTTTGCACAAGAACTTTACGGTAAAAATCTTTTAGAATATAAATCACGTCAAGGGCAAAATTGAAAGCAAAATCAAATTAAGACTGTCGAAACTCTGAAAAAAAATTCCATGAATTCCATCCGCAATTCATAATATCATCAAAATACATATATAAATGTGATAAATGTGTTATACATACATTGATGCGGATAAAAAAAACCAAAAGGAAATGTATGTAAAATACGCGTATAAATTATATTTACGAAAACGACAGGCGGAGGGGAGGAGTAAAAGATTTAGATTAGAAATTTTAGAATTCGTTCCCACGAGAATGTAATCGCACGTTGCGGCCTGCCTGGCAGCCAGCTAGTGAACGGGGAGCGGCAGGGGCGACGGGGAAGAGGAGGAGCGTGTGAGGAATGTAAGAGCGCTCAGCGCCGTTCCGGCACGATGCGATTGTGCGTCCATGTGCGTCTGCCGTCTGCTCGCTCAGCGAGCGCTTGACGCTTCTCGTTCTATAGTACGTTCATTGGTTCATACGTACCGAACTACGCACAGCAGAGCAGATACCGAGACGCGAGTTGTTCCGTGAGATTCTCAGGAAGGAGAGTCAGCAGTGGCGCCTCCCGCACCCCGGCCACCTCGCGCCAGCGTCTGGCGTGACGTCACTCGGCCACATTGGAAAGAGAGAGAGAAAGATGGGCCGACCAACCATTTCTATTGGCGCGCTACAATCAGCTATAGTGTGTGTTTCTTCGTCAGTTGGCCAACGCGACGGTGCTGCGCCGCTACAGCTACAGCGAGAGCAGTCGGACGGTTGATACCGTTGACGGCTGATCGTCGACTTTGTCCGCTTTCTGCTTGTGCGCGAGGGCCGCGAGAGGCGCGAGGGACTCCGTGACGAGAGAATCCTGAGAATCTGTCGCGAGCGAGCGTAGCGCGCTTAACGTGTCGTGCCACGCATGCGTATCCGGTACCACATCGCCAGTCGCCATCTTAATGCGCTTGTACGCGGTGTGATCGTCCTCGGTGCCTCTACGCGAAACGGAAAAAAAACCGGGGTGGTGACCTTGAACCGAGGCCCTGTGCGACACGACAACGGAACGTCCGCGACACGCGCGCAACGTCGAGAACACGGGACGACGAGAGACGAAACGGTGCTGCCCAGGCGGAGAGAGAGCGCGGGTCGAGCCGCGCGGAACAAAGCCGTGGAGTTACGCGGACGGGCAGAGCCAGGCGTTGGCGGTTCGCGGCGATCCGGACGTCCAAGTCGACTCGGGTACGTTTCTCCCTTTTTCACCGTTGCCACGTTACGTTGCATCGCGCATTCCTCGGTAGCTCTCTAATGAGAGGACTTCTGGTACTTTCTCCTTTTCGCGTCTCTCCTCTGTCATGGCGTGTGGCAAGCCCGCACGACGCTCGGTCGAGGCGCGGTGGCGAGAAGTGGGGCATATTCGCGTCAGAAAAGAAAAGGCAGAAATATTAGAAGTACCGCGGATTAGAACGTGTATAAATAGAAGAGAGGAATGCCCGTAAGATGAACAGAGAGGTCCGCGTCCGATATACCTCTCTTGCTCTCTCTGTCTCTTGTCGGTTTTCGTTCGCAATTACGCATAACGGCGTTACGGCCGAACGACGTGCGTGCGCACTTTCGAAAACCTACTCGCAAGAAAGACAGCACGAAGTAAGAGTGGAGAGGTATACGATTTCCTTCCTCACTTCCATCTGACGTTTTTCGATTTTTCATTTCCCTTCCATTTATACATGGTCTAACGATAAACTGGTCCGCAGATTCGATCGCCTTGTTTTTGTTTACTACTGTCCTTCCTTGTCGCTTATCGCCCCTCCCCTTCCCTCCCCCCTCTCTCCGCCCCTCTATCTCTTTATCGGTATCCTTTGACGCAGCGCTTCGCGGCGTCGTTTATTATCTAACATTGTTGGGTGGGTCTGCTTTGCGGGAAGCTTAATGTAACTGACGGGGAATAAATAATTTGTAAATAAAACAAGAAAGATAAAATAAAGTGATTGACGTTAGAGAAATCTTCAGAGAAAACAGCGGCGAACTCGAAACGGGCGAAGATATTTTATTTTTTCTTTGTCGCATTTGAGAGAAATTGTTTTAGCTACAAAATCTCTTTGACGGAGCTCGCACGAAAAAATAACAAGTTTTTCGCAAAGTCAAACAAACCGACCGCAAAATTATTTCTACTAAAATCGATCTTTAACGAATCTTTTATGAACAAAGTGAAATCGAAAATGTTTTGTAGAAAAATATTAGGAATCATTTGGCAAATAGAATTTTATTTAAACGTGAAACTAAAAAAAAAGACTTGAAATTACATATTCGGATCACATATGGAATTTGTTCTTTGTAGTTGCTTTATCGCTATGCTTTCTGCGGCTAATAAAATAGATATTCAGGGTGTCCCATGATTGGTACAAGTGGAAAAGAGGTGATTTTACATGAAAAAATAAGTCAAAAATGAACAAAATTTTTTTAAATACGAACAAGCTTTGTTTTTTAGAAAAAAATTGTGATATTTGTCAGATACGCATTTAATATGCATTTATGATTATAAACATTAAATATCGAAAGAATAATTCCGAGATAATAAACATAATAAAACAAGGAATGTTTAAAAGAAGATGTATTCAGTTCCGGGACACCCTGTATAATTAAACGTTAGGGAGGATTCACATTGGAGTGCGAAAGCAAAAATCAGAAATTGGAACGCAATTTCTGATTTTTGCTTTTTTGTACCTCCCTTAAAAAAGAAGAAAACGAAAAAATTTTTTTGTGATCATTTGTGCCTTGTCTTGACTGTGTCTGCTTCTCTAACCAGGAGGATCAAGGAGACTTCAGAGAAGGTTCTTGCCCCCAAACGGCTCAGGAAAAACCCGTGTTTTCCAATCCAAAGGGAGAAACAGATGAAGGGAACAGACTTTCTACTTCGATCTCGAACCCCCAAAAACAGGTTTTGAAGCGGTTATTGAACCAAGTTATACTCTCAGGTTGCATCTCCGATGTTCTTCTTGAAAAATCTACTCGGATACTCGGACTGTCCCCCACTGAATCAAGTTACATTCATTCTGTATCTGAGATAAGATTACGAGTATCGTGACTTGGTTTGTCTATACCATTCTCGATAAGGCGTTTATCATTGGCGCGGGAGGGGGAAATCTTTAATATAATATAGCGGTGTTTAGTAGCCGATCATTCACTTCCATATGCTGTTGTGTCTATGACGCGAAAGGTTCATTGATGTCCGTTAGCTTGCTCGCAGTTAACTAAATTGGGAAATCTCGATACGGTTGCTTAATTTGAAATTCATTTCCGACGTAAAATAAAAAATTGAAAGTAAACACGGGTTAACACGCGTTTTTCCGTATATCGAGTTGTTCAGATATTTTTATATTGCATTCGATATCGAACATTTGTTAAGAAACAACGGAATTGGATTGGAGCTCGAGCGACATTGATAGTATAGAAGCGGTCTTGTCGGGGCCTTTCGATTGTGTACGCTTCCCGTCATGCCTGCCCTGTTGCCAGCTCCTCTCGCTGGAATAATAAAGAAGACGCGAGAGTCCAAAGGAAAAGGAACGCTCTGGCGCTGATGTCATTTTGTAATTCTCTGAACGATAAATGGTATCCCTCCCAAGTGTAGCACGGCGCCGTGTACTTCGGTCATCTTAATGCGTCATTTTTGCGATACGCGAGATGTCAATGCAAAATACGGATATGGGCTTTCGTTCATTTATTCTCGGGATTTTTAAATGCTCGATTTGTTAAAAATGGACTGAAATTTCGCGATTAGCAGGAAGACGGTAACACGAGAATGAGAGGCAATTTTTGTGGAAAAAAAAAATATGGAATAGGTTTATCCTCGTGAATAAGGAGCCTTTAGATTAAAAAATCGAATAATCTTGTTGTCTGATTCGATAGCGCTATGTTAGTTGAAATATTATAAGATAAGGAAAGAAAGGAATCCGCAGATATATAATGGATCTAATCGAATCTTACAAGGAGACTGCACGACGATTTCCACGAACTCGTAATATTGATAAGTATCCATGTCGAGTACCTAGTATTATTAAGTAAACGGATAAGATTTTTTCAACTTTGTTTTCGCAAACGTTTGACAAGCGCATCTTATCGCGATGAGTTTCGTACAATTGGTATCATATCGTGCACTCTCTCTCTGTTAGCTAGGAGATAATTGACTCGAGGATTAATTTTTTATATATTTAACTGTGTTGCAAATATATATAACATATCTTGCGTGCATTAGAGATTTTTAACATTGGCAGCGAGTATCGGAACGCAGCCTAAATTAGAATTGTCGGGGAGTTTTTGAGTAACGACACTCTGTATATCGCTACGTCTATTTATTATTATTATTTTTTTTAAATAGCTGAAACTAGACTTCACTAATTCGGCAAAAGCGAGGAAGCAATTTCTGGTGCATAGTCCAGTGCAGAAAAGCACCACACAATGCGTCACAAGATAATATCTTGATATTATGGCGTCGGTCTCGTATGGTATTATTGACAAAGATGAGAAATAAAAACAAAAGAATTTCCTTCGTGTCGTCTTATCCAGAGCACGTCGCCAGGGATTTGTGTTGAGCGACGGGACGAGACACAAGGGTCGTCTGTCTGATAATTCTCGCAGCATATTGATGACCTGAGTCACAGTATGCCACGACCGTTTCCTTTATACATAAACCGTTCTGCCTAGAGTTCTCGTTAGAATCCTTTGAAGTTGGCAGCGAGCGGAATTCGGAATTCGAGTTCCGAATTCGTTGCAGTCTTATTTCGCGTGTAAATAAATATTCCTTTTTATTAACTTTTTTTTTTTAAACGTGGGAATTCACAAATAATTCAAATATTTTTAATTCGCCGATTCGAACTTTCTAAACGCGCTAAACATCTCGTATTTTCGAGAAAATATTCTTTCTTTCGAAATTTACCGAAGCCTTACGATAAATTGGGAAGGATTTTTCTGTCGCTATCCCAAAAGCAGTCGCGGCCTCGAGCGGAGCGAAGACCGGGGGGCATGCACGTTGCCAGCCGGTCCTACTGTTACAATTCCCTCCGCGAGTATGGCGTCGCGTTCCCGTCACCCGTGTAATGTAATAAGACGAACAGAAATAGAGACCGCGGCTAGCGGCAACGTTGCATTCGGCGCATATACCCGGTGTCGCAGCTGACACCGCTGCGCGCGTTGGTAGCTTATAAGAAAGTCTAATTTCTCTCTAAAAGTGAATCATC